GAAGATGCCTGTATGCTGGAAGTGATGCAGCCATAGCTGCCCAGCGAGTTGGCATTAGAAGTAGAGGGTTAGTATGTAGCTATGAGTAGTATCCAGAGTAGATCCTCATGAGTATTGAAGAGTGTATATGCATCATAAGAGGAAGGGATTGAGGCTGAGAGTGTTCATTCAAGGTTGGCTATGGAAGATACTTACCTGAGTTGGATGTGATCTGCAGAGGTGGCATTGATGAGTGGTGACCACATTGATGACTTGGAGACTTTCTGCAGGGGTAGCACTGATTCACTGGAAGGCATATTGATGAGTTGGCAAGATATTGGTGTTGCGCTGGTGAGCGCTGGACTCAGGGAAACTTTGAATCAATTTGTATTCATATTTTTGATAATATAAGCTGTGAAACTCGGTTCTCATCTTCTCTACCTTTGTCTATTATCAGACTACTGTTCGTTGTGTGTGGGAGTACGATGCATGGCATGTACACACTTGTGTGAGATGGTCTCCAGGACCCATGCACTTTCATTTTCCTTCTCTTTTTGTCTCCGAAATCATACGTTCATAAAATTAGTGGTATGGCAGTGATCTCGGCAAGTAGCCAAACCTGTAACTAACTAGTCAACCAATCCTAGGAGTTGAGGTCTCAGTCTTCATTAATGCCCCCACAATGCAGTGAGATGTTTCGGGAAACTGCCTCTTAAGCCTGATCGAGGGGTGTGGTCCTGGCTGGCTGTGTACAGGTCAGAGATTTATTCTGCTCCGGGACGTGGAACAGGCTGTGCTGGGCAGTTGGGGAAGATGGCACCACATGGGAAGAGCCAGCCATTCCTCCTGTCGTCTTCACCCTCAGTATCTTGCAAGTCCTGTCTGGCATCCAGCGGTGAACCTCTGCACTCGGTGTGCATTTGGCCAACAGATTCATTGTCCAGTCCGAGCAGCTCCATCACTGGGAGAGCGGAGCAAAGATGCAGGATGAAAAGAGGGAGGAGGCTCTCAGGATATGGAGGAGGTGACAAGGAAGTGATGTCCGGCCCAACGGCGCCACATTCTCCTACTTGCACTCCTCCATCGACAATGACGTACATAGGGGAGATTCTGCCAACGGAAGGGCTCGGCATTGTCAGCCCTTTGTTGCTTTCCCAGATGATGGCAATGCAGGAGCAGCAGCTTCAGATGGAACGGCATGGAAGAGGGCTTGCAGAGACAGCCACTAAAAAGCTGGAAGAAGCCCTTGGTGCATCTAGGAGGGAGCTGAACAACTTGAGGAGACAGATGGAGCAGGCTTTGGCTGCAGAGAGCAAAAGGAGGCAGGAAACTGAGCTGCCACTGCACAAAGAGAGGAAACAAAAAGAGATTGCAGAGTCTTCATTCAAGACGACCCGCAAAAAGTTGATGCAGAAGGTCCTCGACAAGGAAAGAACTGTGAGAAAGCTGGCCGAAGGTAAGGTTCGTGATCTGAGCAAGGAGTTGAATGATCTACGATTGGAAATGGAAAGGACTTTGCAAAGCGAGCGAACAAAGCGAGAAAAGTTGGAGGTGGCGTTGGAGTATGAGAAACGTGAAAGAGAAGCAGAAGTTAAGAAGATGAAGGAGAAAGAAAGAGAGAGGGTGGAGGAGATAATGAACATGTGGGAGGAGAAGTTGGCCAAGGGCGTGGAGGGTGAGAGATGCAAGTGGTTCATGGCATTGGAGCAGGAGAAAATAAAGCGAGAGATTCTGGGAAGAATACTGAACGATGAGTGGGTAAAGAGAGGGAAGCTGGATCAGTGCTGGGAGACAGCCGTAGTCAACCAAGAGGTCGACATTAGGCTCAATGAAATGGAAGAAAAGGCTAGAAGAGAGGTGGCAGAAGAGAAGTTGAATGATGAGAGGGAGAGCAGCAGGAAGGATTGTGAGGGACGTTGGAGAGAAGAGAGGGGTTGTAGGGAGGAGGCCGAATGGGCAAAGCAGGCTGAAGCACAACACCGGTGGCAAATAGAGGAGGTGCTCAAGGAATTGAAACTCGGAAAGGAGGATATGGAAATCAAGCTGGCGAGGGAGCGGGAGAGGAGAGAAGAGGCAGAAGAGAAGCTACGGGGAGTGGAGAAAGATAGACGAGAGGTGCAAGTGGGGCTGAAGAGGAGCATTGCTCAGGCAATGGAAATGGAGAGGGAAGCAAGCAAGGGGGCACAGCGATTGGAGAGGATGATGGCGATGGCACTGGAGGAAACTGGGAAGCGGTTGAGTCTGGAGGATAAGTGGCAAGAAGAGAAAAGGAAGAGGGAGGAGATGGATGCAAAGTTCCAAGAAGAAAAGCTTAGGAGAGAGTTGCTGGAGACAGTAGTGCTGCGTGCAGAAAAGATCTCAAAGTTGAGCACTGATAGGCTAAGGTTAAGTGAGCAGAGGGTAAAGAAGCTAGTTAGAGAGCAAATGGAAATGTCGAGGGAGTTTGAAGAAGAGAAACGGAAACTCAAGGAGGCATTGGAAGTTATCAGGGTGGAGCATACACAACGACAGGCAATTGAGGAGGTGCTAAGGAAGAACATGCGTTATGCAGAGGATGACATTTTAGCAGACCTCAGAACAGAGGGGAAAACAGAGACAGAAGCGTGGGGGAAGGGGCATCAAGACATGAAAAGGAGACAGTATGGGATGACTCAGGAGGTAGTGAGTGTAGCTAGAAAGGAGGAGGGGAGGGAGATACATGTGGAAGGGGGGCTCCGTGAGGGTGGGCTGACTGATAGGAGTTGGGGGCTCCGTGAGGGTGGGCTTACTGATAGGAGTTCAAACGCGATGACTAATGTGGAGGCATGGGGATTGACTAGGAAGAGAATCCCAGATATGGCAGGAGAACAAGTATTAGACTCTGAGGCTCTGGAAAAGAAAGTGGGAGAGGTAGAAACGGGAGCTTTCCTGGGCACGAGAGATGTTCCTCCTTATCATCTTATGGACCAGGCAAGTGTCATGCCGCAGGACTCGGGAACGTGTGTTTTGGATGCTGGGGTGAATTCTGCAAAGCCGGTCGATGAGAAAACTGGGGACTCTGTAATGCGAGAGGGGGCTGATGACGATGGGCTTTCCGCAGGTAGCCACCTTATGTCTGATAACAGGAAGGAATTCTTAGTTAGATCTTCACAAGAGAGGATAGGTGAGAGGGAGAAGAGAGCGATTGCAGACGGGAGAGTAGATGATTGGTCAGAGCCCATGAGTAAAGAGTCTACATTAATAGACAGGGGTCAAACGCAGCACAACGGGGCAATGGTGAGGCCGTCTCTGGATCTCACGGACAGACTGAAGATAGAACCTCCACCATTGATTGCTCGGTGTGAAATGTCAACTAGTGCAGCCAAACAAGGGCGGTCAGAATCGCCAAGAGCGGAAGATGAAGCAACTCAGTGCAGAGAGTCGGATGTAGAGCAGTCGGAGGGGCCGCCACAAGGGGGAACAAGCGAAGAAGCTCTTGTGGCAGTCGAGGGAGGTGAGAAACGAAGACAGAAAAATGAGAAAAGGAAGCAGCAGCAGTACCCAGGACTTGGGTTGGCTGTCACGGAAGCTTTTGGGAGACTGATGGACGAGGAGATTAGGGAGGTTGCCGGAGTCGTTGGTCGCAGAGCCAGATCACGAAAAGAAGAGACTTGGCAGAGATACCCAGGCTGTGGGGCCATGGGGAGAACTGGTGGACATGACACCTCAGATGACGAGAACGGCATTGGAGAGGCAGAGCGGACTAGAGAGAGCAATCCATTTCAGCCGATTGCCAAGGAGTGCAGAATGGAGGCGTGGCTGACGTCTCAGGAGGAGATGATGAGAAAGCGGACAGCAGTGACCAATAGATTGTTGAATGTGGATGTGAAGGTAGAGGAAACAGGAAGAAGAAAAGGGGAAAGCGAGTTAGGAAGAGATGATCCGCGTGCCATTGATGCCAGTCCAGGTGGATGCACGCCAACAAACGCCGAGTCAGACGCAAGAGAGAGAAATCAGCCACTGATTTCTGCCAGGAGTGAAGGAAACACGTCGGAATCATCTTCTCGGCTGGAGATGTTGAGTAATGCTGAAGAGGAGAGAGAAGGGGTGCTGTACGTGCTTCAGCTTGTGATGAAACGAGCTGTGGAGGACGTCATGAAGGGATTGAGGGCAGTTGAGAAAGTTGACGGCAACTGGAAGATCTCAGCTGCCGTAATGACTCTGATGTGCAACGAGGTCCAATACTGGTGGCAGCGAATGTGCAAGGCATCCAAAGATATAGGAGAAGAGCGAAAACGGAGAGGGAATCAGATAGGGAACATTCCCTTGGGAGAGCTCGTGAGAGAGGTGGCAGAGGTGGTACTGAAAGGAATGGAGATGGTGCGCACCTATTGTGACCTACAAGTGGAGGAGAGGGCAAGGAGACAGAAAATTGAGGCAGATTTGGAGGAAGCACTGGCTATTGTGGAAATAGAGATCCAGAGGGAGCACGAGCTGAGAGCCAAGCATGGCATGGCAATGTTCCACAGCAAAGATAAGGTCACACGCGGTAAGGCTGATCTGAAAACTCAGCAGAGGAGAAGGCAGAGATCAAGAAAAGAGAAAAGTGACACTGTAAAAGAAAAAGGGGATGGATCAACAAAGGGATGGAGTGCAGCAAGTCGCAGAAACCGCAGAAGACAGACCGTTATCGAGTTCGGCGAGTGAGAAGGTCTTCTCAGGCCTCACTAATGACCAATTCCATCTTCCTGGTTGCATAAGGTATTGATAATGTCCGCCGCTGTTTATGCGCATATGCCACTGTGACCTGCGGGGATGTGACAACCAGTCCGCCAGCCCCTCCCTCTTTCCTGTATGATCATACCTCTTTTCCGCACAATTGGCCTGCCTTCTTTTCAGCCATTGACCTAAAGGAGCTGAGGCCTGATGGTCGATCGACAGTTTGTGTCTGATGATTGGACTTAATTGAACATGTCCTGAAAATCGTTCTCAAGGCTCCGCCATAGCGAGAAGCAAATAGTAATTGTTTACGGATAGGCTACATTGGAGCACCAGCCAGAGAGGGAAATCATTAGCAGTGGGAGGGGGAGGAGCAGACAAAACATTACAAGTAGGAAGGTCAGGAAGAGGAGGTAAGGACGTAGGAAGAGGAGGACGAGCGGGGAAGCATGGGTCTCCCCCTGCCATTGCTTCCTTTGGTAGTGTCAGTTCCAAGCAGGCGGCATGTGCAGCATGCCGTTTCTTGTCATGGGCAGCAAACAAGTATGCAGGACAAGGGTTCACTGTCACATGGCAACCGCCAAGAAGGTGTCATGTCCAACGTCCCACATCGCTGCCAGGTACTGGCTATTAGCAACGCGCTATTAGCAACGCACCAGCAGAGACAATCTTGGCAGTGATAACATAGAACAGAGAACCGTCCGCTATATTATCCGAATTGCATGTTAACTGGAAGTAAAGGAAACAGGTTGCGGTAATGAGATCGGTGTACAGCAGTTATTCCAGCTCGTGTTCTCATCATATTATTGTCGCAGGCGGCAGGCGGCAGGAGATATTTGCTTACAAGATGTACGGACTTTGCTTTCTAGTGTTTTGTCATCCGGATGGAGTCCAATGAGATCATGTATACAATGAAGGATGATAATCTACTTTAACCAAAAAAAAAAACATAATGTGAATCATGGTTAACATCCGGACGTCCGAACCGCAGTACAGACGGTCTGGGTCCGGATGTCTAGGTCAGGTGTCCGGTCCATCCAGAGTGTCCGGATCCATTCCCCCACCCCAGCCCCCCAAAGAAAAACTACTTACAAAAAAGTAAAAAAATCTGCAGAAACGATATGGTATGCAGCATTGCGGTACGGAAATCCTTTGGCTGAGCACCATCTCGAAATAGCGAAATGACAGAATTCCAAATTGCAACATCACATTGAAAGCCACACAAAAAAGCTTAGCTGCAATAGGCTAACTTAGGCATGGGTGAGGGGTGGTACATCCTTCGCGCAGGAAGCAATCAATGCCGCCCACTCGGGCCTCTCAACCTTAATGGGGAGGAGCGTGG